CGTTTCTACTTTCCCTTTCATTTTCCTCATTTAACAGCTCCTCAAAGTATTCCTTCCATCTTCTCAGCACACTTTCCTCACTTGTGATCACATCCCCCTCTCTGTCCTTAATCAACCTCACCTGCTGCACATCCTTCCCAGTCTCGCCAATCTATACAACTCCTTTTTTCCTTTCTTTGTGTCCAAACTCTCATACAATTTTTTTAAAAAAATAAATAAAAAAGGATTCTCACTTTTATACTCTCATATACTGCGGCTGCTTTCTCAGGATCACTGTTGTGGAGCCTGAAGGCAAATTCCGTCTCCACAATTCCAGGAGATATACTCTGTAAACACATAAGAGGGGAAACAAAAATATAAATGATAGGAGTAACAGCACAATGAAAAGGAGACTGTTAATTTTGCCCATTAGTAAAATAAAACAGTTACGACCTGGTTATAATTACTTTTAAAAAGACAGCAGATCACTCGTAGACAGAGGTTTTCAGTAACCAGCTGCAAATTGATTTTTTTTCCCCTTAGTTGAATGAGAAAAAAGATTTGAAATAGGAAAAAGACTTTAGACTAGGTGAAATAAAAAGGGTTGTCCTGATACCATTCAAACAGGTATTTCCAATGACGTACTGTATGAACATGAAGGAATTATTACATACGCGGCAGAACTCTGTGGGTAACAAGGTGGTGCGAGCGCAACCCAAACCACAGTTTTATTTTCTCCTCATTACCAGAAGGCTAGGAGGCCAACAGCAGACCTTCTACCTCAGCAAAACGTCCCATGCAAAGGCCGGAGAGAACGTCAACCTCCCTTGCCAGAGAGTAACACCAACAGTACTCTCACAAGGCGGCGAGTGGTCGATGAGGGTTGACCTGGGGAGGCAGCTCCAATTCCTCAGAGAGATCACAGAAACTTCGCTCCGGCCTGACCTGATGTGGTCAGAACCAAGCAGGACCATTCTGATGGCGGAGCTCACCGTTCCATGGGAGGAAGGCGTGGAGGCTGCCAACAAGCGAAAGCATGCGAAGTATGCAGAGCTGGCAGCAGAACACAGAGAGGCTGGCTGGAAAGCCATGACGTGCTCCGTTGAAGCAGGACGCAGGGGATTCTTCGGGTCCTCAACGGTACACCTGCTCTATGACATAAGCTGCACAGGAGCAGGGTGAAGGAAAGCCATTAGGGAACTGGCAGAGGAGGCGGAAAAGGGCAGCTTTTGGCTGTGGCTAAGAAGGAAAGACAAGAGTTGGGGGCCAACGTGAATTTACCTGCGAACTAACTTTAGCCCGCAAATAACAGGATCAGCAGAGTAAGTTAGGAAGGAATGTTAATACACCTAATAATAATTAACTACCGGCGCTTTGGCCCAGAGGCAAAGTCTGTGTCATTGGTGTGGAACCCCAGGGTTCACCTCCTGGGCAAGTTCAAATCCCGGTTAGGGCGGTTGGTACCTTCCAGTGGACTCACCACCCGCAGGAAGGTTTGGGGGGTTGGTTTTGGGGGGTTGGCAATGTGATCTGGGTGGCGACTGCTGACCCCGCGACCCGGTAACGGAAAAGTGGATGAAAATGAATGGATGGATGATTAACTAGCAAGACATACCCTGGGGCATGATTAACCCCAGTGGGGCCTTCCTGGGGGGGAAAATGTCTAGTGATAATGGCCGAAACACTCAATGACCACAAGGTCCACTAACTGAAGATGTGTCTCACAGTAAGATAATACAAAGTAATATTCAGCGAATCCTAAACAGCCATGATCAGGTTATACCCCATGCCATGCCACCCCTTACCAAAACCCCTTCACCGTGAAGGTAAGTACAAGGATGACCCAGCCCCAAATACCCACCCCTTGGTCATGACAATGGAAAACCCTTGATGTAAGTTGGCACCGTTAGTGACACCAAGCCACTAGTGGTGCCCAAAGAGGTGTTCAGAAGAGCACGCTTGCACAAAGGCACCGGGCGGAGGTGCGCCAGAGGAATGCCCAGCAGGCAGACCATCAACCTGCATCTTAATATGATATACCACACTTAAGTATCACTTAAACCAGTGGTTACCAAAGTGGGGGCTGTCAAAGGGCACTAAGGGGCCCCAGAAAAATGCAAAAATAAAAAATAAAAAAAAATAAAAAAATAAATTTTACTTCCTAATCTGTGTAGTTCAGGCGATTCGTGCCTGGTCTTCAAGTTAGCATGACGCTTGCTAGCATTAGTAATTTTCTCAGGCCAAATAAAATGCAATTATTATTGAATCACCGCAGCCCCAATTCCCACCCCTTGGTCATGACAATGGAAAATCACCCTTAAGGAAAGTTGGCACCGCTAACTTACCTCACTAGTGGCACTAGTGGTGCCCAGAGAGGTGTTCAGAAGAGTACGCTTGCACAAAGGCACCGGCGGGGGTGCGTCAGGCAGCAATGCCCAGCAGGCAGACCATCAACCTGTATCTTAATATGATATACCACACTTAAGTATCACTTAAACCAGTGGTTACCAAAGTGGGGGCTGTCAAAGGGCACTAAGGGGCCCCAGAAAAATGCAAAAAAAATTTAATAAATAAATAAATAAATAAATTTTATTTTTTATAACTTGAACTGTACAACACTTAAATTGCCATACCTAAACACACCTAGCGTGACAGGTGCAACTTCAGCATGACAACTTCCTAATCTGTGTAATTCAGGCGATTCGTTAGCATGAAGCTTGCTAGCATTAGTAATTTTCTCAGGCCAAATAAAATGCAATTATTATTGAATCATGAATAAAAGTAAGAAAATATTTTATGATGTTGATGTTTCTTTTTTTTTACATTTCTTGTAGCATTGTCTGTGGGCTTGCAAAAGGGGATCCCCGGCCAGGAGCTAATGCTGTTTGGAAGGCCTTGGCATGGTAAATGTCAATGGAGCTTCCAAGTCAGTTCTGTCTAAATGATGTGTGCTAGAAACACTTTTTACCCCAACTTACGCCATTTAAGATTTAAAATTTTAGTAGGCAGGAGAGAAAAGAAAAACTGGTGACATTACATAATGTGGTAGAGGTGTGTAATTACATTGGTTGCATGGAAAAACATGTAGTGATGTTTTGTTACAGACACAAGTCTTTGCAGGTATATTAATGTTTAATGTTACACTAACCAGGAAACATAACAACCAAACAAATATTGAGAGTCTAGGTAATAGTAACAACTGTATTTATTGTATAGAGCTCTATTATATTTAATGTGCCTTATGCAAACATCTGCGTCTATTCAATAATCCGGTCCCTCATTATTGTCACAGATGCTTACAGAAACAAAGGGATTTAAACTCACCGTGGCTCTGATGTGAGTCTTGGCTTCTCTGAGTTCTTGTCGTAGCCCCTCAGTCAGAGCAGTCACTGCGTATTTAGTAGCACAGTAGAAATGCAAATCTGAATTTGGAACAACTCGGTGCCCACACATACTGGAGAACAGAGGAGAAAAAAAACAAAAATGACGAGAGAGATAATGGTGACATCCTGCGTTAAACTGTCAATTTGCTTTTTTGTTCTGGTGGCTAAATAGTAAAACCATATCTGGCCTGCAATGTAATTATATTTGTCCAGCGAGATCATATCAAATGTGTACTAGAGTTGGCCCGCCAGTATATAGCCCCTATATATTGGCAGGATTTGTAGTATTAGTGGTGTACATGCATTTTTGTTTTTTTTGTTTTTTGTTGGCCTACAGATAAAGAGATATAAAGAGATATATGATGTTTATAATATTACGGTTTGGTTGTTCCAGATTCAAACTAAAGTTTGTTTTCATATGAAAAAAAGAAGGGAGAAGGGAAAACATGCACAATTGCTGTCGAATTTTGGCCCACTGTGAATTTGAGTTCGACACCCCTGGGTTAGACCTTGTAAAAACTGAAAGAGGGAAAACGAAGAGTAACGTGTGCATTTCCTCTGCAGGAGTCAGAAACTAAATGGTCCAATAACACTCAAAATAACATTAATAAATAAAAAATTTGGCAAAGGTATTTATAAATATATATTAAAGATGAAATATAGCAGTAACTGAGCCCTGTTGGTAAAAAAGGATTCGGGGTGAAATCGTCTTGTTCGGTACCTTTGGTAGCATTAATCGATGCGATGTTCTTTAACAACCACCAGGGGTCAGACAGAGTATATCCACTTACTTTCAGCATTACCTATTCATTCCAGATGATCAAGAGGCGGCTGTATACCTGCTTATATTTATGATGTGGCCATCATCCACGTTCCTCTCCTTCATTGATTTATACGCCTCACGAGTGCAGATCGACAAAGCTAAGACATTCACCTGCAGATGAATAAAATGTAGCAATGTCATTCATGCTTGGGTCAATGTATGAATCCACCATTCATTTTCAGACATACAGTACATGATGTGGTAAAAATGTTAAGTCACGGTGATACAAACATTTTTTTTGTTGGTTTGAAAGCAATATCTGTTTAGCTGACTAATGTCAACTGGGTCAGCCTGTGAGATCCTGCCTGTGCTCCTGCTGTCACTGTCCAGGTTGTGGTCTCTAATCACTTAACTCTTCCTCACAGATAATGGCTTAAAGCCAACATGCTGGCTAGATGTGAAGGTGGCTTAAAACAGGAAAGGTGAACAGATTAAACATTGGCTAAAAATACAGCCCTGTACACATTCGTGTAGGCTGTCATGACAACAGATGGACAAGCCTTACGAATGCAGCACTTCACAGATAGAGACTTTAGAGTAGGGAGTCTTCTGTGGTCAATAGCTCAATGGACATCAGACTGTCGAGTCCCAACCACGTAAGAAAACAGTAGAGGACTTCAACTCACGGGCATCTTTCCCTGTTAGGTGATCAGCGGTTAAATATGGTTGTCGCCTTAATTACGGTCAAATATGTAGTAAATTGTATTAGCATGTTAGTTAGCATTTGTTAGTAGTAATTCAACAAAAACCTGATAAAAGCACATTAGAAATCATTTATTAGTAAAATAAGATAAAATGATTCACTAGCAAATACAAAAAATAATAATTAATAAATAAATACAGACTCACTTTTATATATACTTTACTATATTTATATTTTCCCCGTAACTTATATCATATCAAAATCAGTGAGTTGGAGTCTATTTTAAGGGTTAAAACTTTGAGTAATTGGTATGTTTCTTTGCTCAAATATTTATCTAGTAATTGGTATGTTTCTTTGCTCAAATAATTTTTTTTGGGGGGGGGGTTGGCTTATGGTTCCGTTTAAACAAATACTTAGCATTCAGTGACCTTTTGTATATATATATATGGCTTATGAAGTAGACACTGGTGTATCCACAAACTACAGTCACTCACAAATTTCAAGATAAAATCCACACACGCAAACCTTTGCCCATTCCATTCCTTATCTGCCCTGAGCATTTTTTATCTGTGTGCCTGAGATCCACCCACATCGATCATGTTCCTCCAGCTCTCTGTTTTTCCGCTGAGCAGTGGCTCTGTGTGTGCCAGTCCAGCATTGTTGATGCATACATCCACGCCTTTGTGCAGCGTCTTGATGGCCGAAAACATGGACAGGATCTCCTCTTCGTTTGACAAGTCGCACTTGTAAGGGATGAGTGTGCCACTGTAGCCCGCGCTCTGACATTCAGCTGCCAATTTCTGGAAAAAAAAAAAAAAAAAAAAAATCAGACTTCCTTTAAATGAGGAATCGTCTGTTACTACAATGAATATGTTAGCAAGCAGGTTTAGTGATCTGAAAACAAAAAAAAAGTGACCAAATTCAGCAAATTTTGCAAACCCTTGATCTGAAAACGTATGATATGAAATGACAACAGATTGATCATTTCAGATCAATAAAATCTACGACAACTTAAATGAAGATGGTAGAGGTACGTGTTGTAGATGCAGCTTTGTTGTTTTGTTTTTCTTTGGTTGCTGACACTTGGACATTGATAGTTAGAGTTACAATGCTATTTGCAGCAGCCAATGCATTTATAAGAAAACTAGGTATACTTGGGATTAGCTATGCACCAATCCACTTTTTTTTTTTTTTCACTTCCGATCCAATCCCGATACCTTACGTGAAACATCACGTACTTACATGATACTGAGCCATTTTTTTCTCTCAATGAACAATATTTGTAGCTTGAATGACTAACAATCAACTGCAGACACATGTATTATGTCTGTTATGGAGTGGTTCCATCTATACCAGTGGTCCTGAACCATCTTTGTTCCAAGAACTGGTCAGCCAATAATACCCGTTACTACAGACTGGTAGCAAGGTGCTGAGCATTGAAGGATCATGACATTTTCATAAATAAGTGACCAAATTCAGCAAATTTTGCAAACCCTTGATCTGAAAACGTATGATATGAAATGACAACAGATTGATCATTTCAGATCAATAAAATCTACGACAACTTAAATGAAGATGGTAGAGGTACGTGTTGTAGATGCAGCTTTGTTGTTTTGTTTTTCTTTGGTTGCTGACACTTGGACATTGATAGTTAGAGTTACAATGCTATTTGCAGCAGCCAATGCATTTATAAGAAAACTAGGTATACTTGGGATTAGCTATGCCCCAACCCCTTTTTTTTTTTTTTTCACTTCCGATCCAATCCCGATACCTTACGTGAAACATCACGTACTTACATGATACTGAGCCATTTTTTTCTCTCAATGAACAATATTTGTAGCTTGAATGACTAACAATCAACTGCAGACACATGTATTATGTCTGTTATGGAGTGGTTCCATCTATACCAGTGGTCCTGAACCATCTTTGTTCCAAGAACTGGTCAGCCAATAATACCCGTTACTACAGACTGGTAGCAAGGTGCTGAGCATTGAAGGATCATGACATTTTTTATAAATAAGAAGGAATTGCGTTAAACAAAGTTTGTCGCAAAATATCCTGCCCGTTTTTTTATATCGATGCATTTTATAAAGAACTAGCGTCTTCGGGGCGCAATAAGATTTTGGTGCGCGAGCGGTGGGCACGGTTCGACACGTGATCGTGCTACACCAATGGAGTAGCTGATTGATGTCAACACTTCCGGCAACACGGCTTCCTCCGTTACCGATAGACAGGAATTCTCCTGAAAGTCTTCTAAAGCGCGCCAAATGGATTCTAAACAGTGCTTTATACATAGCCGCCTCCACGAAGAACAATGAGGAAAATAGACGATAAGGTGAACTTTGTATGTTAAGTCATTTTGCTCGATAAAAGGAAGTAATAAATGACAAGAACCATTTGTTTATTCATTCGTTCATTTATTCGGTCCTAACTAAATACAACACCGATCAGTCATAAAAAAAACTTAAAACATATATACATACAGTATGTACAATATATAAAACAATACAAAACAGCATAAGAAAATGAATGGTAATATTAACCATGGAACCACTGTAATACAACTCTGAAGCTACACATGAAATGTTCGTATTCACTGTCAGTGTCAGGGCAGTTGTCATCCTCCTCCTTCTTCTTGATTTCATGTTTGTTTGCACAGTGGCAACACCTACACAGGTCTGTACAACAGAGTCGTACAATCAGGTGTACAATCATGTTCATGCTGTTGAAGGTACCTGCGGTGTGATCATGAAGAATATGAGTCAAGGGTGTTTTTGCATACACAACATGCTGCAAAACCATGCAGCTTATGTTTTTTCACAGGGACGGGCAATAGGACACGCATCAATGACATTACCAAGGTGTCATCAGCTCTTGGAACCAATGTGTGTTCAGCCTTGATTGGCATACATACATTCTCTGGGTGTGACTCCATAAGTACCTTTATGCTAAAGAAAAAAAAAAGAAGACATTTTCTGTAACAAGTGAGCGGGAAGAGTATCTTAAGGGTTTTAAAAATCTGGGTGCTAACTTTAACTTGGACCTATCGACATTTGCACTACTTTGCAAATATGTATGCCACCTGTATGATCAGCTGGCTGCTGAAAATGTCAATGAGGCTAGGTACAAGGCTTTCTGTGTGGCATCATCAGCCTCGCCAGAAATTGTCTATTCCCCTCACAAGTGATGCCCTCCATCGGCACTGCAAAAGGGCAAATGCAGTCATGAGGTCCTGCATCAAACGAAATATAGGTGCTCCATCACCTGCTGGATATGGTTGGCACGTAGATGATGGAAACCTATATGTCACATGGATGACATGAAATCTGGCCCCTGACAGTGTGTCTTGTGTCTATGCAGGTCTCTTGTTGTACAGACCTGTGTAGGTGATGCCACTGTGCAAACAAACATGAAATCCAGGAGGAGGAGGAGGAGGAAAACAACTGCCCTGACACTGACAGTGAAGACTAACATTATATGTGTAGCCTCAAGAGTTGTATTGCAATGGTTGCATGGTTAATATTATATTATTCATTTTCTTATGCTGTTTTGTATTGTTTTATATATTGTACATACTGTATATATATATGTTTTAATAAAATTTTTATGACTGATAGGTGTTGTATTTAGTTAGGACCGAATAAATGAACGAATGAATGAACAAATGGTTCTTGTCATTTATTACTTCCTTTTATCGAGCAAAATGACTTAACATACAAAGTTTACCTTATCGTCTATTTTCCTCATTGTTCTTCGTGGAGGCGGCTATGTATAAAGCACTGTTTAGAATCCATTTGGCGCGCTTTAGAAGACTTTCAGGAGAATTCCTCTCTATCGGTAACGGAGGAAGCCGTGTTGCCGGAAGTGTTGACATCAATCAGCTACGCGATTGGTGTAGCACGATCACGTGTCCAACCGTTCCACCGCTCGCGCACCAAAATCTTATTGCGCCCCGAAGACGCTAGTTCTTTATAAAATGCATCGATACAAAAAACGGGCAGGATATTTTGCGAGGAACGTTTTGCTGTAAGTTTAACGTAACTCGGTTTTAATTTATGAAGTTGAGATTGTGTTGTTCCCAGACGTCGGAGCGGAATTGAATTTCTAAAGGACTTTTTCGTGGTTCACCTTACGGCCAATTACAGTGTTGTGAACTAAGTGCAGATTTAGGTTCATTTTTACTGTATATATCATTACATTACATTTGGCGGACACTTTTATCCAAATCAACTTATAATTTGAGTCAGTCAATAAACAAATCAAGTTACAGTAAACATACAAAATACATAACATAAATAGTTATACATAATCAATAGAAAAGTACAGTTATAGTCATAGTAGGTCGTAGAGTAAGAAGAACAGTATGTGATAAAAAAAATGTCATAAGTTTTAAGAATGTCATAAGTAAGTCATAGGATAGTAGGTGAAAGAGTAAGAAGAGGTGCATGATAGATGTTAGTGCAGGCATGGGCAAACTAAGGCCCGGGGGGCAGGATGTGGTCCATTCAGCCTTTTGATCCGGCCTGTCAACTTTTCCGAATTGCATAATTTATTTATATTTTCATTATACGTCTGCCTTTTCCCTGCAATACCCACATTTCCCCGATAGATGGCATAGAAAATGACAACAGCATTGTAGCATTTTAGCCTTTATGCATGACGTTTACGTGTCATTTATCATAGTTCACACTAACGCTCCATCTATCGGCTCTTGACCCAGCCCCCCTGTTCAATTTTAGGACAAATGTTGGCCGCAAGTCAAAAAGTTCGCCCATGCCGGTGTTGTGGGTTTGTTAGTATAGGAGATTATTAGATTATTTATCATTAAAGGTTTGTTCCACGGCACAAAAGAGGGTATAATCAACAACTACGAACATTTCTCAAAGCATACCCCATTCTGTTACTAAGCTACTTTAGGCTTCAGTAAGGGCCACAAACAAGTGGTAGAAGGTAACAGCTGGCAGATTACAGCAGGTAGAAGCGGCGGTTTTGCAATAATCTCTTTTTTTACACTCACTAAAAGGTCTAAAGGTTGAACAGGGAGGTTTTTACAGCACTTCCCTGGGGATAATCTAATCATGAAAACAGAACACTCTTTGTTACTAATGATACTCATTGGCACACTTTGGATTTTCTGAGGAGTTTGAGAAGAATGATCACAAAGTAACTGAAGAAGAAGCCTTACATCACTTTGAAACTGTGACACACATGCACCAGCAACCTTGTAAACTAAACAAAAAGAATGACTACATGACAACAAATGTTTGGTATCTATCATAGTAAAAGCTTGTATCACCCTGGCACTCAGCATAGTGGGCAGGTCAGAGACTGTGGACAGACTGGTAGAACCTGTGTGGCTGGATGTTCCTTTCAAAAAAATAAAAATAAATAAAAGATAATAAAATGTCCAGAAATATATTTTCTCAGTAAGAAACGATGAGGTTTATGCAAAGTCAGAATAAGTACATGAAGCTAGCTACATTTGTAAATACACTTAGCAGTGGGCGATAAGCAAAGAATTCTTTCTAGTTCTGTTGTTTGTTGTTCAAACAAGCATGAGGGAAGACGGTTTCTTTTTGAACATGCACAGATCACATGCCTCTGGTGCTGTCTCTGCACCTGATCTTAGGGATGTGTACAACAGCCTTAGCTTCCACTGCAAAGATCAAGATTGTTTGTGATGATCCCTTAAGCAGTAAAGAACGAACAAACAAACAAATAAACAAAGCCATGAGAAACGAGAAATGTGAAATCTCACATGGGCCAACATAAAACAAACAAATAAACAAAGCCATGAGAA